CGCTGTTGAAACTGATCAGTGGCTGATTCCAGGAAGCTGGGGGCAGAGCAATTCTGCCTCCAGCTTCCTGTAGTCAGCCCCTGGTCAGTTTCAGCAGCAGCGGCTGAATCTGGAGCCAGTTCCGACTTACATACAAATTCAACTTAAGAACAAACCTATAGTCCCTATCTTGTACGTAACCCGGGGACTGCCTGTATGTTAAACCATTTCTAAAATCAATATACATCATGTCTACTTCTTTGTCCTATTCACTAGGCCAGTAATCCTGTCAAAGAAATAAATTAGGTTTGGCCTGATTTTTTCTTGACAAAATCATACTGGCTATTCCTTATTACCTATTATTTTGTAGATGCTTACACATTTATTGTTTAATAATTGTTTAATAATTTCTTCCACTAACTTTCCCGGGTCCTTTTTGTTTCCCTTTTTAAAGATAAGTACTATATTTGCCTGTCTCTGATCATCTGGGATGTCGCCCATTGTGCATGAGTTCTCAAAGATAATTGAATATGTTCTGCCTTTAATAATGTCTGAATTGATGCTAGTTTTGCAGACCAGTGGTGAGGTTAGCAAGTCAGATGGCCATTGCACATACAAGAGGTATAATGCTTATGCAATAGTACAGAGGATATGCTGCTATATGGTGCACCAAATGTGACTCTTGTATTTGCGAGAGGCACGATATTGTGATAGTCATATTGTCCTTAAGAATATTATATAACTGTACAACTGGCAGTTAAGAGCTAAGCCTCCTTTTCCCTTAGATGACAGCAGTTTGAAAGGCTCCATCAGCATAAAATTAACATTTCTGTCTGAATATTTTTACTTTTGTTATACGTAGCACCTAAGATTACTGTAAATGAAAGATTAATTTTTTTCCTCTATTTTATTAGATGAATGTACTATGTGCACTTTGACATCACTTTGTCTAAACTCAGGCTAAGTGAAGACTGCACTGTTAAATTGGAAAAAGATACTTTTTTCATTTTACTTTCAAAAGAGGCTCTTTTGAAATTTGGCATGCCTATATGGCACCAAATTTCAAGAAAAAATGTCCTTTTGAGCCATCCTTTATTGCTTGTAGAACGAGGTTTACAGGGATGTCGAAAGAGCACATCCGTCCTTTCGAAAAAAAATTGAAAAAGCGGATGCATTCCTTGGATGCAGCGGATGCATTCCTTGGACGCATTCCTTGTTCCTCCAGTATCCCGAAAAAGCAATGTAGTCTAGACGCCTCCGTTTTGTGGCTCCCAGGTATATAGTCAATGAGAACCCAGTCCTGCAAACACTCAAGCTCATGAATCACTTCATTCAAGTGAGTGGCCATGTTGACTTTGTGTTAGTAGGATCATGCCCTTAACAATTGTGCATGTTGTTTAGATTGGCCTTCTATATGTAACCAGAGGGATTTTATATTAAAAGAGGAAACGGTGATAATAAAACTACAAAATTGATGGGGAGCTAAGCAGTAAGGCCTGGTTCAGGTGCTGGTCCCAGCTCTCTTTGACTTTTTTTTTTTTAAACTGACTAGATTTTAAAAAGAGGTTGCTCCTTTAAAAACACTGAGAGCCTGTCTGCATTTGAAAAGTCATTGCAGTGTACCGTTGCAGCTGAACTGTTCCACTACTTCAATGTAGATGCTACCTACCCTAATAGGAGAGGTTTTCCCCATTAGAATAGACAGTCCACCTCTATGGCTATGTCTCTTTGGGTTTGGATTTTTCACATCCCTGAAGAACCATATTAAGCTGACTTAATTTTCTAGTATAAAAATGCATTTTTTTTGTATTTTAAGTAATTTTCCATGTGCATTGTTTCATGGTTTTATTTATGCTTTTGTTTAAGTGGAGGAGGAAAGGTTAAAAAAAACTACGTAAGCTTGAAAAGGAGTAAAACCAAATGTTAGAGAGCACTTTTGCCAAAAGGCTACATTCAGTTATATTTTTCTTTAATAGGGTTGGCATAATTTCTTGAAAAATAGAACAAAATTCTACTGGAATCATTTATGCTAAAAGATTTCAAATCCATTTTAACTAGTAATTCACTGATATATAATGGAGCTTTGATAGTGATCATTAATTTATGGTAAATGGATCGCAAAGCCTGATCGTTACATTGTGTGGCTGGAAGTGCTTTGGGAAGAACTTGGATCATTCAAATATCATCTCAAAGAATGTGATTTTCTCTCACTGTAATTCTCAATATATTCAATTGGAGTCAATTATGATATTTATGGGGTGGGGAGTGGGAAGAAGCACAGTTGCCGCCTTCCTCTTTGTAAATCAAAACAGAGGTGTAGGGGGAATTTTAGATTATCTCCGTGGCCATAGATTATTGGAAAACATTTGTAACCATGATCTAAGCTGAGAACCAAAATTAAAGGCTTTTCAAGTAGAGAATAAAAATCTCCTGGGACCCTATCAAGTATTTTCCTGGAATAAAGACTACGAATTAGGCTTCTATTTTGTTCCATTGAAG